TCTGTAGAAGCACGGTAACACAGCAATCTGCAGTCCCAGGACCCAAGTCACGAGTAATGGCAGTAACAAAGTCCCAAGCACGAATACAACACTTTGCCTACTGCAAAGTCCCCAATGTTTGATACCTTCTTATATCCTATAACTCATTGTCGGATGATGAACTGCTCTCCACCCTGTCTTCATCACTCTCAGCTGCCTTAGCTTCCACAGCTGCTCTCCACCGCCCATCCCCCCAACTTTTCCAGTGTCTATCAAGACTTAGATCACCCCATGTATTACCAGGTTGCCATCTCCAGAAAACCCTTCAAATTCATCACTTGATGTTGGTTGTGTACATATGTCTCTGATCTCTTACACACGGGTCCAGTCCAGCCCATCCCCCTCTCTGTTATCACTCCCAGTCCCTTCACTCCCCATGAACCCCATAAAGTCTTCCTCCTCAGTTGGAGCATTAAGTATTTCACAGATCCGCTTCCTTTCCCATTCTTCATCTGACTCTTGCTCCCAAGTAACCCGCTTCAAACTTCTACTCCCATCTCGCTCCTCCTCCATTTCAGAATCTGAGAAACCTTAGAATGAATAAGTATCTGTAGGTGCCATGAATATCTCCCTAATTCGTTTCCTTTGCTGCTCTTGTTCCAGCACCTGAGCAGCCCTCTTTCCCCTTCTACTACCAGTTGTAGCTTGACCAGCACACTCTACTACAGCAAATAACAACAATAACAACCCTATCTCATCAGTCAAAAGCAGGCCCACACTTCCCATTGAAATACTAATAAGTTTATATTTGTTAAAATTGTTCTTCATTTTAATTATTGCATTGTTTTTAAGTGTTTTTGCACTACAGATAAGATACGTGCAGTGCGCATAGGAATTCATTCATGTTTTTTTTTTCAAATTTTAATCTGGCCCTCCAACAGTTTGAAGGACTGTGACCTGGCACTCTGTTTAAAACGTTTGAGGACCCCTGGTCTATGGGCAGACCACCAGCAGGTCTGAGCTTTCAGGACAGGGCCAAGATGTAAAGGCACAATATATTCAGTTTGGCAGCTCTGTGTTTGGGCAAGCTAAGCTTGTTTTCAGGAGCATGAAATGAACCTGCAAAACAGCATGCCTTGTTGTTCATTCGTTCAGTCGTCTCCGACTCTTCGTGACCTCATGGACCAGCCCATGCCAGAGCTCCCTGTCGGCCGTCACCACCCCAGCTCCTTCAAGGTCAGTCCAGTCACTTCAAGGATGCCATCCATCCATCTTGCCCTTGGTCGGCCCCTCTTCATTTTACCTTCCACTTTCCCCAGCATAATTGTCTTCTCTAGGCTTTGCTGTCTCCTCATGATGTGGCCAAAGTACTTCAACTTTGTCTCTAGTATCCTTCCCTCCAATGAGCAGTCGGGCTTTATTTCCTGGAGGATGGACTGGTTGGATCTTCTCGCAGTCCAAGGCACTCTCAGAACTTTCCTCCAACACCACAGCTCAAAAGCATCAATCTTCCTTCGCTCAGCCTTCCCTAAGGTCCAACTCTCACATCCATAGGTGACTACAGGGAATACCATGGCTTTGACTATGCGGATCTTCTTTGCCAGTGGATACTGGGGTTCAATTTATTGCTCAGCTGTGCTCAGGTGAATAACACATTTTCAGACCCAGAAAATTTATTGCTCAGCTGTGCTCAGGTGAATAACACATTTTCAGATGAATTCAACCTAGGATCACCACAAATCAGAAACAACAACAACATATTAAAAAAGAGTGTGGGTGAGTTATGGGCATGAACTCTGTGTTTAGGATAACCTATGAGCATCACTGCCAACTATTGCGATATCATAAATATCTTATTGAAAAGGAAGGTTTGACCAGCTTTCTCATGCACCTACTTGAAGAGATTGTCCCAAAGGACCTATGCATGAAAGAAACAAGCAGAGCACATCTTAAAATAGGTACCCTTGAAGATCTGTTGAAGAAACACTTGTGCCAGACAAGAGTTTGTCCTTTAGCAAAATAAAACCTGTTATTTATTAAGGAATGAGGTTTCTGTGAATTATGGATGGATTTAATTTCCTCTAGCCTCTCCAAAATGCTTGCTATGAATAATACATGGGTTTCTTTTAATTCCATATTCAGAAACACTTCATCCGCTAGAGAAATTCGATGTATAAATTTAATTATCTGCATTTGGTCATTTATTTACCATTTTGACTATGCATATTACAGCCATACTGGAAGAGCAGCTGAGGTTTTTTCTACTGGACATCGTGTTATGTTTTAATAATATAGGGGAGAGGTTTGGTTGTCTTTGGCAAGCTTAGTTTTCAAGAGAGCTGCAAGGGCAAACCAAACATCAGCATTCCTGCTGCGCTAGGCAAAGGTGAGTAGTAGTAGAGCCAAAAGGCAGCTGCTCTGTTTTGTATTTTAGACATAATTGAACAGCGGAATAATGCTGAATACAGGAAGGTGTACAAAATAAAGCTTGAGAGGGGAAAAGATTTTTGGAGCACAACTTCTAGCATCCCCCTAGGAAAGGAGAGCCATTGTTTCGCGTCCTAGTCTCCAGGGAAGCAGAAAACAAGCTTGCTCCCTCCTCCCTGTGGCTTCCTCTCACATATTTATACATGCCTATCATATCTCCTCTCAGCCTTCTCTTCTTCAGGCTAAACATGCCCAGCTCCTTAAGCCGCTCCTCATAGGGCTTGTTCTCCAGACCCTTGATCATTTTAGTCACCCTTCTCTGGACACATTCCAGCTTGTCAATATTCCTCTTCAATTGCAGTGCCCAGAATTGGACACATTATTCCAGGTGTGGTCTAACCAAGGCAGACTTCTGGCCTGCATCAATAGGAGCATAGTGTCTAGATCTAGGGAAGTAATGCTACCCCTCTATTCCGCTTTGGTTAGACCACACCTGGAATATTGTGTCCAATTCTGGGCACCACAATTCAAGAGAGATATTGACAAGATGGAATGTGTCCAGAAGAGGGCGATTAAAATGATTGGAAAAATTTGTTTCGTTTTTTTAGTTGCTCCTGAATGGTTCAATATCGCTTCGTTATAAAAAAAACGAATTAATAACGAATTACGAAATTAATGAACGAAACCACCCAGCCCTAGTCCAGAGGAGGGTGACAGAAATGATTAAGGGTCTGGAGAACAAGCCCTATGAGGAGCGGCTTAAGGAGCTGGGCATGTTTAGCCTGAAGAAGAGAAGGCTGAGAGGAGATATGATAGCCATATTTATTTATTTATTTATTTATTTATTTACTGTCCTTGTATACCGCCGTTTCTCAGCCTAAGTGGTGACTCAACGCGGTTTACAACAGAATATACAGTACACAGTACAATTAAAACCATAAAAACATAATACACAATATTACATGTCAATCACAATCCAATACATCTCCTAACTAAAATCGTGGTCCAATTGCATCATCCATATTACCAATCCGTAATCAACACATTCATTGCACCGAATTAACCAAATGCCTGCTTGAACATCCAAGTTTTTAGTCTTCTTCGGAATACCATCAGCGAGGAGGCTGATCTTACCTCCATGGGAAGGGCGTTCCAGAGCCGAGGGGCCACCACAGAAAAGGCCCTGTCTCTCGTCCCCGCCAGCCGCACCTGTGAAGCAGGCGGGATAGAGAGCAAGGCCTCCCCAGAAGATCTTAGGGTCCTGGTGGGCTGATAGGCCGAGATACGTTCGGATAGGTAGGTTGGGCCAGAACCGTTTAGGGCTTTAAAGGCCAACGCCAGCACTTTGAATTGAGCCCGGTAGCAAATCGGCAGCCAGTGGAGCTGGTGCAGCAGAGGAGTTGTGTGCTCCCTGCGCTCCGCTCCAGTTAGTATCATGGCTGCCGACTGTTGGACTAATTGGAGCTTCCGAGCCGTCTTCAAAGGCAACCCCACGTAGAGAGCGTTGCAGTAGTCTAAACGGGATGTAACCAGAGCGTGGACTACCGTGGCCAAGTCAGACTTCCCAAGGTACGGGCGCAGTTGGCCAAAAGGTCATGAGTTCGAAGCCAGCCCGGGTTGGAGTGGAGCAAGCTTGTTTTCTGCTTCCTTGGAGACTAGGGCACGGAACAATGGCTTCAAACTACAAGAGAGGAGATTCCATCTGAACATGAGAAGAACTTCCTGACTGTGAGAGCCGTTCAGCAGTGGAACTCTCTGCCCGGAGTGTGGTGGAGGCTCCTTTTGGAAGCTTTTAAACAGAGGCTGGATGGCCATCTGCCAGGCGTGATTTGAATGCAATATTCCTGCTTCTTGGCAGGGGGTTGGACTGGATGGCCCATGAGGTACTATGATTCTACTCTTTCATTCTATGATTCTATGATTCCTCTCCAGTTTCAAATCTAGCAACTATAGACAAGGATATTCATACGAACACAATTCAGTCTTTTTAATTAGAGGTGCAAAAAAAGATACCTAAGTGAGTTTTGCCACTAGAGTCCCTGTATAAATACCTTCAATGGTGTTATCGCACATCAGAAATCCAAATTGAACAGAACAAAGCAAAAATTGCCTTATCTCCACTACACACTTAAGCCATAGATGACATGGGCAATGTGCCAAAAGCCACAACTATGCATACAAAAGCATGCAACTAAGATAATTTGTAGTTTGAGCTTCAGAGGTGAAATTACATTGGGAACTATTACTTCCCTATTATGCTGGCAAGTAAATCTGTTCCAGGTTTTATTTTGGATTTAAAAAAGAGCTATCCAGGGTGCTAAACATATTTTGGGTTTGTGAATTTAGATGGGATCTTCAGAATAAACTCTACAATCTGGAATGGACTCAGTGCTCCACACTGGCAATGGACTCACCAGCTGCTACAATGACGTTGCTTTCTTGTTGTCCCTTTTGACTCTAGTAGAGTTTGAACACCATGCCTGGTTCTCAACAGAAAATCTCACAAGGGCTGCCCCAAGTGCCTCATTATATTGAACTGAACATGCACTACAATTTCCTGCATATTATTTTGTTTTTCTCTTTGTGTTTTCCAGAATGCACAAGCCAGCTATGATTTCAGCAGTAATGACCCATATCCGTACCCCCGCTATACAGATGATTGGTTTAACAGGTAAGGACAATGTCTAGCCATGCAGGAATTTCGATTGCTTGCCTATCTCCAGTCCAAACTTTTATCAATATAGAACAGGAAGTCACTCTTTGTGCTTATAATAAATATACGCACAGCAGGGAGATGTTCTCTACATTTGTGTTTGTTTCACACACACAGGGCTTCTTCTCATGAGTGGGTGAGGGATGGGAGCAGGGAAAAGCAGAGGAACCTGTCTTACCCAGTTCCCTCCCATCTTTCCCCATCTTCTGGGATGGCCAGTCATCCCACATCCTTACTACGTAGATGCCCCCACCCCACCTCTGATTTCTCCTGCTTTTCTTCCTTTGGAGTCAACTCATGCAAAGTAAAGAGCTCCATTTCCATGTACTGTGAAAACAGAGCCCTGCAGAGACCCACTGGACGTGTCCTCCTTATGTCATGTGATTGTGTGCTGGTACGGCTGTACCAGGAGCTCCAACTTTATTTCTTTCTGTTAAAGTTTGCAGTTATAGGGCAGGCCTCCTGTCCATCATAATTAAGCTTTGGTTCTGCCCCTTGTTCTGGGCTCTGGTAGGGAAAGGAGCCATTTTGGGCAGTCTCATACAAGGTAGCTAAGCTATAGGACATAGACCAGCTCGTTCCGTAGAAAAGCTTCCTTTCTTAAGAGCATCCAGGGAAAAAGGAGCATCCGGGGATACAGAAACAGAAATTCTAGGGGAATGGTTCCAAAAAGATCTGGCTGAGAGCTCACAGCCTCTCAGCCTCACAGCATCACAGGGAAACAGCCCTGAAGTTCTCAAAGAATTCTCGGAGGGAGGACAGCATTACAGATCCACTGAACTCCAGCTGAAGTATCTTCAAGCCTCGGCTGGTAGGTCTACTCAATACCCAGATGCACTTGGATTCGGTAGTAGCACCCACACCAATGAGGCATAGATAGAAAGCAGCCTGGGAGAGGTTAAAAGGGTTTTCCCTACAGAGAAGGTTCAGTTGATCAAAGTCAGGTACCAGTCTATTGAAGACTAGACTAAGAAAGCCTTAAAGTGTTGTTTGAATCATTGAAGATTTGTTGTTTGTTCCATAATAAAGACTTTGTTGTATCATTAAAGACTCTAAAGACCATCACTTCAGAAAAATCCCTGAGAACCTCTCTTTGAGGCACCCCTGGCTTCCCGCTGGGCTTAAAGTATACGTCCTATAGAAAAGTACAGCTGTGCGCGACAGTGCGCGACAGAACAGATTGCCTCGGTGGGGCTCATACATGTATTTAAGGATGTATTCATTGCAAAATTCTTGTGGATTTTTATGTGCAGAAAAATAGCAGGAAACCAAGAAAAAGTATGTCATTTTCCTACACAAAAAGCCAAGTGTGAATTCTGCTCAGAATGAATTTTAAATTGTGAAGATTCTCATGATCCCAGGGTTTCTCTCTCCAAGGTTTGCCAATATTTAAGAAATGTGTTTGCAACCATTTCCCCCAATACTTTTCTATATCCTTTCCCTTCCTTGCCACACCACCACAGTGAGGTCGGTTTTCCCCCCTGTACAACTCTTAGAGATTGGCATTGTGTAGATGCTATGGGCCAAACTGAACATGATACCAAATGTAGTATTTGCACAATAGGTTTTTTTTAATTCTGATGAGAGGTGAGGGTAGGAGGTGATCTGGATCTCTGTAGTGGCCCCTCGGCTCTGGAATTTGCTCCCCAGAGATATTAGGCAAGCCCCCACCCTGGCAATCTTTAGGACAGTGGTTCTCAACCTGTGAGTCCCCTGGTGTTTTGGCCTACAACTCCCAGAAATCCCAGCCAGTTTACCAGCTGTTAGGATTTCTGGGAGTTGAAGGCCAAAACATCTGGGGACCCACAGGTTGAGAACCACTGCTTTAGGAGGAGCCTGAAAACTTAGCTGTTCCAATGCACTTTCAATGATTGAATATACCAAGCCCTGCATAAAATGCCCTCAGAATCACTTTATTTTCTGGTATGTGCAATTAAATCTTGCCTTATCCCTGGATCCCCTGATTTTATATTGTTGCGCTGTTTATTTATATTGGTTTTGTATTTTATGTTATTTTATTTTTTATTTTGCTGTGTTTTTGTGTTATACTGTGTACTGTACTGATGGGCTTGGCCTTATTTAAGCCACCCTGCGTCCCCTTGGGGAGATGGTGGCGGGGCATAAATAAAGTTTAATAATAATAATCAATAATAAAAATAATCAATATATTAGGCTTGGATAACCACGGAAAAATTTGGTTCTAAACTCGTTTTGTTTTTAGGGGGCCCTTGCGTTTCGTTTTTTTAATAATTCCGAAATTTTCCTTTTAAAAATTTCGAAATATACGAAATTTTGTATAATTACGAATCGATTCGTTAATGGTGGACGCAATTGCGCAATATGCTAAAAAAACCTCCAAATGGGACAGGGGGAACTTCTGAAGCTTCCCTCTCCCTCTGTTGTTGACTGTTGGTGTGATAAAACAAACAACAACTATAAAACTTGCACCAGACATGCCAAAATAATTACGAAATAATTACAAAATAATTACGAAAAAATTACGAAATAATTACAAAAAAATTGTTTCGAATCTAATTTATTCCTCACACTATTCCTGCATGGCTCAATATCGGATCGTAAGCTAATTTAAATACGAATTAATAACGAATTACGAAATTAACGAACGAAACCGCCCAGCCCTAAATATATATATAAATGCTCTGTGCATAATGAGTACCTTAAAAACAAAAGAACCAATGAACGAAATCACACCAAATTTGGCAACAAAATGTCTCACAACACAAGGAGTGACCATCACTCAAAAATTATGATTTTGTCATTTGGGAGTTGTAGTTGCTGGGATTTATAGTTCACCTACAATCAAAGAGCATTCTGAACTCCACCAATGATGGAATTGAACCAAACTTGGCACACAGAACTCCCATGACCAACAGAAAATACTGGAAGGGTTTGGTGGGCATTGATCTTGAGTTTGGGAGTTGTAGTTCACCTACATCCAGAGAGCACTGTGGACTCAAACAATGATGGATCTGGACCAAACTTGGCACAAGCACCCAATACGCCCAAATATGAACACAGATGGAGTTTGGGGAAATAGACCTTGACATTTGGGAGTTGTAGTCACTGGGATTCACAGTTCACCTACAATCAAAGAGCATTCTGAACCCCACGAACGACAGACTCGGGACAAACTTCCCACACAGAAAATGACCAACAGAAAATACTTAAGGCCATCCAATCCAACTCCCTTCATCAGGGCAAGAAAACATAATCAAAATCCTCCTGACAAATAGCCATCCAGCCATAGATATAGATAGATAGATATAATTCATACATACACAGATATAGTATCATAGACTTGAAAGTAACCCTTAAAGAAGGACAATGATATCTTGCATGTTCCAGGGTGGGCAAACCAGACACTCTCCACATCAACACTGACAAAGAAACAGCAAGAAATACTGTTTACCCACAAGGATAAAAAAATTGCATATATTAGAAACCAACATTTTCTCATTATTTTATTTTCCAGATCAACAGACTGGGCCACAGCAACACGTGACAGGGGACAGCTAGTAATAATAATAATTCCTTCTGTGAGAGGGAGATGAGATGCCTGTGGTTTTTTGATCTGAAATTTAGGAAAATGTGGGATGCTACACATGCTACAGATACTTGGCCACATAAGCCTAGCAACATACGAGTACTATCCCCCACCATTTGTTTAATAATTGTCAGCAGAGTACATTGCGGTTCAGGGAAAACTCTCTTGCAAAGCAAAATAATAATAATGACGTTACTCTTGTCCTTGCTCCTGTACTCCTTTGAAGCATAAAGGAAAGGATGCAGGTAATGAAAAAAAATAGAGCAGACTAACACAAAACAAAGCAAGCACACAGAAACAAACATTTTTTTAATATAAATGCAATGTTTTCAATGGACTGGAGTGAGTTTGCAAGAGCTTTCACTGTACTTTGTTGCCATCTATATTTTTCTCTCAGGGACAAACTCAACAAAAAAAACAACAAAAGTGAAAATTCATTCTTTGTTAGTAATATTTTTCTTTTATTTGAAATATTTCTAAGGTCATCCATCAGTAAAACTCTCAGGATGGATGAGAACTATAAAATCAACAGTATAAAATACTCTGGCACTTTGTGACTTCTTTGTTAGTATGTCGTAAACCTGCTTGGCTATTTGGTCTGAAATTTAAAAGAGCGAATCAAAGGGCTAACTTTTCTCCGTTGGATGACTCCTGTAGAAATTCACTCCCATTAATGAGGAAACTATCATTCACCACTGACAAAACTGCAACATAAATGTTCTGCAAAGTTTGAAAGAAATGCCAAGTACTGATGGGAGCAATCTATATAAATAAAAATGTAATGTTCGTTTGTGATATTCACAGAACTCAAAAACCACTGGGACCACATTTGGACACAACACATCTAACAACCGAATGTATGTCCTTCAATCAAAAAATTGATTTTGTCATTTGGGAGTTGTAGTTGCTGGGATGTATAGTTCATCTACAGTCAAAGAGCATTCCGAACCCCACCAACGCTAGAATTGGACCAAACTTGGCACACAGTTCTCCCATGACTAACAGAAAACACAAGAAGGGTTTGGTGGGCATTGACCTTGAGTTTGGGAGTTGTAGTTTACCTACATCCAGAGAGCACTGTGGACTCAAACAATGATGGATCTGGACCATACTTGGCACAAGCACTAAATACACCCAAATATGAACACAGATGGAGTTTGGAGGAAATAGTCCTGGACATTTGGGAGTTGTAGTCACTGGGATCTGGACCAAACTTGGCATGGATACTCCATATGCCCAAATGTGAACACTGGTGGAGTCTGGGGGAAATAGATCTTGACATTTGGGAGTTGTAGTTACTGGGATTTATAGTTCACCTACAACCAAATAACATTCTGAATTCCACCAATTATAGCATTGGGGCAAACTTCCCACACAGAACTCCAATGACCAACAGAAAATACTTAAGGCCATCCAGTCCAACTCCCTTCACCAGGGCAAGAAAATGTAATCAAAGCCCTCCTGACAGAGAACCATCCAGCCATAGATATAGACTGATATATATGATTCACACACAGAGAGACATAGTATCATAGATCTGAAAGGGACCCCTAAAGAAGGACAATGATATGTTGCATGTTCCAGAGTAGGCAAACCAGACAATCTCCACATCAACACTAGCAAAGAAACAACAAGAAGTACTGTTTACCCCAAGCATAAAGAAATTACATAGATTAGAAACCAATGCTTTCACATTACTTTATTTTCCAGATCAACAGACTGGGCCACAGCAACACGTGGCAGGGGATGGCTAATGATTTGATAATTATAATTAAGAGAATCATAAGAGCTAGCAGAATATTTTTAAAATTTTATTTTGCTGGGGGCTGATGACAGAGATCTAGGAAATGCTGTTCTGAGGACCCAGGAACATTGTTGTAGGTGCCAACAGCAGTCCTTGTTGATTTACAAAGTTAGTCCTTTGGTATTGTTGAGTTTTGAAATTGCCTAGATTTTCGACTTGGTTTTCTCCAAATGACTCTCTCACTCTCCCCCTCCCCACCCAGCAAGTTCCCCATGCGTTATGAGAATTAACTTCTGAAAAGTTTATTCTCTGTTTCAAAACAAGTTTGCTCTGTAGCAATGAAGAGAAGCAATGGCAGCATCTCACAGTGAGATATGAGATGTTGGGGTTTTTTTCTTTTAAATTTTTTAACCAGTCTTGATGTTCTCTATCATCTCTGCAGTCATGGAACCAGATGTGCTGGTGAAGTATCTGCTGCAGCAAACAACAACATCTGTGGAGTTGGAGTGGCATATAATTCCAAGGTGGCAGGTAGGACATACATTAAAGGACTATGTTTGGTTTCTTTCATTATAAAAGCTGTCCTTCTATATTACAGCAGATATTTTATAATAAGTGACTAGCTGTACCCGCCACGTGTTGCTGTGGCCAACCTTCCCTCCCACTTTCTCTCCTCCCTTCCCTTTTTCCTTCCTTTCCTCTTTTTCTTTCCCTATCTCTCATCTTTCTTCCATCTCTACCTGTTTCTTTCCTCCCTTTCTTTGCTCTTTCTTTCCTCCCTTTCTTTGCTCTTTGGTTACATCCTTCCTTCCTTCCTTACTTACTTATCTTTCGTTCCTTCTCTCCTTCCTTCCCTCTCTTTTTCCTTTCACTTTTTCCTTCTCTCCTTCCTTGCTTCTCTATCTTTCTTTCTTTCCTTCTTTCCCTCCCTCCTTCTCTCCTTCCTTCCTTCCCTCTTTCCCTCCTTCTCTCGTTACTTCTTGACTGTACTTCCATTTAATATTGTATTTATATCTTACATAGAAAGAAGGAAAGGAAGAAGGAAGGAAGGAGGGACAGGAAGGAAGGAAGGAAAAAGGGAGGGAGGGAAAGAAGGGAAGGAAGGAAACGAAAGAAGGATGGACAGGAAGGGAGGGAGGAAGGAGAAGGAAGGAAGGAAGGAAGGAAGGAAGGAAGGAAGGAAAGAGAAGGAAGGAAGAAGAAAGGAAGGAGGGAAAGAAAGGAGGAGGATGAAGAAAGGAGGGAGGGAAGGAAATGAAGAAAGAGAAAGAAAGAGGAAAGGGAGGAGGGAGGGAGGAAAAAAAGAAAAGGAAAAAGGAAGGAGGGACAGGAAGGAAGGGAAGGAGGGAAAGAAGGAAAGGAAGGAGAAGGAAAGAAGAAAAGGAAAGGAAAGGAAAGGGAGGAAAGAAAGGAAGGGAGGGAGAGAGAGAAGGAAGGTCCTTCATTCAAGCACCGCGGACCTTTCTGTTACTTTAAGGGCAGAAGAGTGGGCAATATTAGATGCTGCCACTGAGCTGAGGAATAGCTTTACTCACATACATATCCAGAATTTAATACAAGTTAAATTTGAAGTCTATAGCACACTCAAGTGGGCAGCTAAAATTGGGGTGGTGGGGAAGTGGAGAGACTTTGAGTCTCAGGTTCAGGACAGTGGCATGTAATTATTTTTCTTTCAAATTCAAATTGGGACTTTGATGGAGAAAGTCTGTAGTGATCTGTTGCATGAAACATGAAAAGCTTATCTCCTTTTATTGACAGGAGATCAGACCAGCATTGGCTTTGGAAACTTGTCAGAAAATCAGTAGATCAGAAAGACTTCTTACAAAGTCTTTACTTTGATCACAGAAAAACTGCTGGGACTTCTGTTACCATGTGTGATGATTCTTACCTCGTAGGCTGAAGTAGGAGCCTGAGATGTCAGTAAGCAGGCCTCCATTTTGGGAGTGTAAGTGAGGGAGGCAGACATCTTGGGAGTGTAAGAGGAGAAAAGGGGAGGAGCTGTAGCTCTCTCTGGATTGGTTAGGGCAGATGGGAGGAGTTGAGCCCTGAGAGGGAAAAAGTGTCAACTTGACAGAATGAGGGGAGATTGATTTTTGGCTTTGAAGAAGAAAGAGTGGTTTTGGGAACAGAGTAGAGAGGTGGATTTTTGGTGAGCTAAGAGTTTTACTGTCAGAGGGCATTTGTGACAGGCGATTCTGCATTATTTGGCCAGGAGGGTCAAAGTAGACACCTGGATGCTTGTGTGGGATTTTTTTTACACAAGTGGTTTGCTCTCTGGGGTCAGAGTAGTTTAGCTTTTAGAAGACTCTGCTTAGAGTGTAGCTAATTGCTCTGGGGACAGCCTGGTTAGGTTTGTCTGAGGAACTCACTGCTACTGTGTCAGGGTAGAGTAAGGAGTCTTACTCAGATCTAAGTTAAGTAACCTGTTTAAGAATATTTGCCTCAGTAACCATTCAAGCTTGTGCGCCTCATTAAAGAAGATAGTTTATTGTTTATATTACATCAGTAAACATTTTCTCTAGTTCAACTTTTAAAGAAGCCTTGGTAGTGATTCATTCTGTGAGAATAATTCCACTGGTTTTTAACATCTTTACATAACAGTCATTTCAGGGAGCTGGTGGGCAGGAAACAGTTTATCTCAGGGACAATATCTTTAATATTCCCAAATTATTTTGGGTGGTGGCAGCAACTCTACCAGAGTATGCACGTTACCTCAACAATCATCTAAACACTCTGTGCCAGAATCATATTGGCGTGCAGCGGCGAGATTTATTTTGAGATATCAGACCATGATTCTTTTAAGTGGTGTACAGCTGTGGGATTAATAATCTATAATCCTTTAGAGCAGTGCCAAGGTATAATATAGGATCCTTTATAACTGGTGGCAAGATATAATTCGTTTCTTTAAACCATGCAATATTGGAAATTTTAGAGGTATACCTAAGGAGACCTTTGATACCTTCTTATGCAAGCATCTCCTCAGAAAGGCAACCATCTTATGCATTTGTTTTAGTTCATTATTTATAGGTTTGTTGATTATATTCACAGGTATTCGGATGCTGGATCAGCCATTTATGACTGACATTATAGAGGCCTCCTCTATCAGCCACATGCCCCAAGTGATAGATATCTACAGTGCCAGCTGGGGCCCTACTGATAATGGTAAAACTGTGGATGGACCAAGAGAGCTCACCTTACAAGCCATGGCAGATGGTGTGAATAAAGTAAGAGTCATTTTCTAATGCATCACAGTGATATTTCTACTCCTTAGAGATGTTACTTGTAACCTGTACTTTTCCAAACTACTTGTATGGAGTTCATTGCATCATCATCATAATCTTACAGGGCCTACAATATTTAAGACACACACTTAAAATAATTTTAAAGTATTAGTACCTTTGAAGTGATTTATTGTCAAATAGAAATTTGGGAAAATGAAACATGGGGTCATGCCACACACATATACATAACCTTAACTAGAATTCATTTGTTTTATAGTTATGCACCAGGCCAAATATTTTGTCATACTCTGCTGCCATTTTTAATTTAGTGATTTATGAGTTATTGAGGCGAGGGAGAGAGACTATTTCCTCTTTAAAAACCTTTTTGCTGCCTTACACTGATTCAGTTTCTTCTTTTATATTGGCTGGGACTTTCTGTGTGCCATTAAACCTTTGTACTTTAGATCACAGGCAACGAAACTCTCTTGTGTATAACCAAGTAACACAGTTTATTTATATCTTCTGGCTCCAAAGCTTGTGGTTACATTTGTGTTTTGTTGCAATCTTGAGGCTTACAGTCAGTATCATTTACTTGGTTAACTTTTCTGAACAGACTATCAATGTTTCACATTCACAAACATGTTACTTGCTTTACACACTCTGGGCTGAATTATATTCTGAACTAAGGCAACACTAGCCTTCTTTCTGTTCCTTAAAACTCGAGCTCTATTTAACTAACTGCTTCACTATATCAGAAGTCTTTAACACATCTTCATAACTGCTTATTTCTATCAGGCACTCAAATACCAACTCTCCTCTTCACACACAGATTTCTAACTGTCAAATTCCCTCACTCTAACTGCCTCTTTCAGAACCTTGGCTCCGCCCCTTTGGAATGCTCAGCTCGGCTCTCCCCAACTGTCATTTTGTCCTAGCAGCCTTTTCAAATCCTGGGCCTACACTAATCTGCATATGACCAATCGGCGTCACATATGCAAATGAATCCTATCTCTGCTGTTGCTACCCTGTCTGTGCCTATTGTTCCCTATCGGCCATATGTAAACATAGAGCTATACACCAAAACTTTAACATAGAGTAGCAATTTCACTACGTTTATTAATTCGTTTTTAAAAAAATATCTTCAAAGATGCAACTATTATACTGACAATCACTCTGATAAGTGTGACTAACCAGACCAAACATAAGAACATTTTACATTGTTTTGTCCATGAATAGAAAATTAGCATGGGTCTTGTAATTGAAGAGATGAATAACATGTGTACAAGAAAATGTTCCATTTTCAAGACACTATGTTCATCTTAATAGAAATAAATTATATTATCCATCTTGAACAGCTCCCATTCTGTGGTATTTTACAAGATTTTTTAAATGTTCTGTTTTTGTAATGACACTATATATTCATAAGAAGAGAGACAATTTTTATTACATAAAGGGAAAGAGAAAGGAGAATAAAGAGAATGCCTTTATTCTCCTAGTAAACTAACAAGAATACATCTGGAATGCTTTTCCTGACATGTTTGGGGTTAGTGCATTTATGAGGATGTATGTCTTAATTTAGTTTCTGAAAAGAAGCTGTTCACAATCCCTTGTGTGTCCAAAACATCCCTCTCAGTCAACACTAAGTAAACAAGGATTCTATTGTGGTTCTTTACTATTCGGGGAGAGAAGAGGGGAGACAGATTGTCTTAGCCATAACGGCAGCTGAGAGGGTCAGAAGCAAGGTTATGCTCCACCACCCACCCAGTAAACAATTGCCATACAGCCCCCCCCCTCCCAGTTTGACTGCTGTTATGGGTGGACAAAGGGATGGTGCTTTTCTGCATCTGATAGTGGAAGATCTTGGCTAACGTGTTTCTGGAAGCATGGGGGAAATGGTATGCTGGAGAGGAACATCTTTTCTTTAGTGAGGAAAGAGAAGGTTGAATATAATTGTGAAACTTTTGATTCCAATAAGTCATAAACAAATATGTCTCTCTCAAAGTAGAGTTCAGAATGTTTGCCAGAACTCATTCTTGATATCATGGTTTGGATCCAAGTGAACATTTTGGGACCCACTCACCTGTGTGACTGCATTTCTGTGTACGAACCCATGCTATCTTTTCGATCATCTGGAGAGGCTCTGCTCTCGCTCCCAACTCCTTAGCAGGCACAATTGGTGGGGACGACCGAGAGGGCCTTCTTTATGGTGCCCCCCCAACTCTGGAACTAACTCCCCAAGGATATCAGGCAAGCCCTCACATTGGCAGTCTTTAGGAGGAGCCTGAAAACATGGCTGTTCCAGTGTGCCTTCCCCGAATAAAGGAAAGAATGTCCTGCTCTGACCCATTCCCTGCAAAATGTCCTCAGAAGCACTTTAACTGCTCGTTGGGTTGCTCTCCCTACACTATCCTTTAAAACCCCCCTGCTTAGAAACATCCTACCTCTGTCCACGGCCAGTGTTTATTTTAAAATTTTAATCTGTTACATCTGGCCCGGCCATAGGTTTTAAATTTTTGTGTGTTKTTGCCTATATGTGAGTTATATTAATTGTATTGTTTTATTTGCTTACTGGTTGTTGTTTTATTGATGTGTTGTTGGGCTTGGCCTCATGTAAGCCGCCCCGAGTCCCCTTGGGGAGATGGTGACGGGGTAAAAATTGCCACTGAATGGCAAGGTCAACAACAACAATTTTTATTGATTAGCCAATTGGCCTTATCAAAAACAAACAATGCAGACATAACATACAACATACAATATGCATCTAGTTCTCTTAAAATAAAATAAAATATACAGGTAGCCATAGATATATGCATCAACTATCCTCGTCTCCCCTACACTGCACCCCAGTCTGATCTATGTACTTTGATTTCCTTTTAGCAGCTTTAAACAGATAAAGGGCAACTTGTGTTGTCAGAATGGGGTTATAACCAGCCAACAGAAATGAAGTTTTGGCTGCTGTATCCCAACTTGTTTTATTGCAAATAAAAGGCCATAAGTATTGTTTCCTTTCTCTTTCATATAGATTGCAGTGATGTAAAGTGTGGTCCAGATTTTCAACTTCAGGGGCACCACAGATACATAGCCTTTCTTCGTATGGGATATGATTGAATCTGCCATGTCTCTCCATGGATTCAATTTGTTCGAATCTTGCCCTGGTAAAAGTGGTTCTTAGGTGTCTTGGCATGTCAGCTTTTAGGTACGGCGCCCTCTGGAAATGATGTTTAAAGCGCCCTAACCACTTCAGGGATCATGTGTTTGACAGGGTGGCTATATCTTTCTGGGCTTCAATATCTAGAATCCTTTGAGTTACTGTCCTTTTTTCAGCATCCCTATTCTGGCCTAAGGAGGCAATTTGTAATCCACAGGTGCGGAGGAATCTTTTTAATTGTTCTGACCAGGAAGCTTGGTTTTGGCCATTAGATTGTTCTAAAAAGCACAATTTTGGAAGTCTATTGTTTTTGAGGTTTCTTATTTTAGACCAGTAGTTAAAGGCCCTGATTTTAGCAAGTCCTCCGATAGAATATATTTCTAGCTCTGCTCTGGCTGCAGCAGCGGTGGTCTTAATGTCAACACCAAGGTCAACAGCTCGGTAAATCTGATTGATTCAATTGGTCTACACCAGTTGGAACTATTTATTTATTTATTATTCGAACTTATATGCCGCCACTTCCTTGGGGCTCGGAGTAGCTTACAAGAACAGGCTAAAATCTAACACAATTTAAAAACAATTTAAAACAATTTAAAACAGCAATATCAAAAATCAAAGGCCTGTCGAAACAGATATGTCTTACATGCCCTGTGGAAAGCTGATAAGTCCCGCAAGGCACGGATTTCAGGTGGCAGAGTATTCCAGAGCAATGGTGCCACTGCTGTAAAGGCTCTGCTTCTGGTTGCTGTTAGACACAAGGTCTTGACATTGGGAATTTACAACATTGGGAATTTCCAACAAATCTTGGTCCCCAGAACGGAGGGATCTCTGGGGTTGGTAGGGGGTGAAGCGGTCCCTCAGGTACATCGGCCCCAGACCATGCAAGGCCTTAAGGGTAAGTACCATCACTTTCCAACTAGATATTGGATTTAAGCCTATACTGCTGGAATACTGTTGATGATTTATGTCACCAGTACTGGAACACTGTTGATGACTTGTATGTGCATAAAGGCCAGTTTTTTGATACCTTTTGAAGGTAAATATAGAGATGATGTGGGGGTAGCAAAGAAAGCCTTCTCCATTGGCCAAGAAGAGGCAGAAATGTCCTGAAATGAGGAAACTCTGAAAATAGGCCAGCAAATGTGTTCAGGGCTCCTACCTCTTGTTGCACTTTACTCCCATGTTTACAACTGAAAGATAAGCGGGATGGGAACCACCACAGTCTTCTGTCCTGTTTGCCCAACTGTCAGCAGTCTCTTGTATTCTATGGGGTTTGATGCAGAACCATATGATCCCATGGAAAGAAATTATTTTAACCTGGAGCACTGTCTCTTGTACCATATTGGGTTTGAGGCAGAACCATAGGATCCCATGAAAAGCAGTGGTTTTAAACTGGTGTCAGTCTCCTTTAATGTAAGGGGCTTTCGGGTGGGCAGGGGATCTCTTGGCTTTTGGATATTATTGTTTCTCCTAATTAAAAAAAATACTGACCATGCAATGAATGTATTGCTAGCACTCAAGTTTTCACGTGTGAGTGTGATGGGAAGGCTGAACTTGGAATGGGACTGTTGACAATATAATGGGAAGATTCTCTAAGCTAAAAGGATGGTCACCCATGCTTTCCCATCTCAAAGTGATGAGGTTGTAAAAAAAAGACAAACTACAGCACAATAGTTTGTCTTTTCCCAAGTCTACTGAAAAGGACAAGATCATCCCACTTCACATTAACTGAATGCATTAATTAAATGTGAATTGCCTTTGCATTTTGATATCAATATCGCAGCAACTGACATAAGCTGAGCAGGGAATGTGAGGGGAGAGAGATACTGGGAATTTACAAAGTGGTTGGAAAATA